TATTTTCCTGTAATCCTATAAAAGAAGAGAAAGAGATGCAATCATGCTTACATAAGTAGCATTGTGGTCTGTTTGGATTCTACACTGGTCTTTTAATTGTAATTATGTCTTTATGTTTGAAACTATGTAAAAGAAATCAAATTGATCCTACTATATTATTTTTCAAGTAAGTTAGAAAAATTTGAATTTCAACAACAATGGAACTGTAGCATTCAAAAATTGTATATATTTAAGCCAAAGAAACCTAGGCTCAAACCTTAGATCCACCACTTATTAGCTATGTGACCTGGGGCAAGTGAGCTGCTCTGAAACTCAGCCTTCCTTCCTTCAAAATGGCCTCAATCAAAACCTCAACTTCACAATAGGTGATTTGATCTTATTTAATCCACAGAACATGTAAAGCTGTTATAACAGCACCAATAAACATCTCCTGCTATTATTACAATTAGTATTAGCCTGAAGATTATTTTCAAGCCAAACTTGTTCAGTTCTCTCACTTTTTGTCCCATATGGCATGGTTTTGAGGATTCCCAGCTCCCACAGCCCAGCCACTCTGTTCTGAAAATATTTTCTAAAAGTCCAGACAGGAGACTCTGACCTACAGAGGGCAAGAAGGAGCCTAACCTCCTTATCCTCAGTATCTTCTACACTGGGTCCAAGGAAGGGCAGCTTTTTCATGTCTGTACTCACTTCACCCCATCGACTCACAGAGCTCACTTTTCGCTCCAGCCTTGATCATTTTTACATGCACTGCAATGTGTTCAATACGTGAGCAACATGGGCCCCTTCCGGTGTTTAGCAGGTTGGTTTTCTCTCTTTTGGAGAGTAGCTGGGGTGGGGAGGGCTTGTTTAATTTTATCATGTTTCTTCAGCTCATCTCTCCAACATATCTCATTTCTGCAGGATTCTGAGTCTGTGGTTCATCATATTTACCCCCCAGCCTCATGCCTCCTCATATATGATTGCCATGACTTTATATTTATTCTTTTACAAGTAGTCCCTAAAATTCTTAGGAAGATCTCAGCTCCACACGAAACCCACATTTTCCTAAGTGGTGTCTGAGACCTAGGAGCTGCTGAAATTCGAAGAACAGTTTCTGGTCCTCAGCTGCATGGCCCTGGGCAGCTCACTTTTTTTCTCTGGGCTTCTAGGGTCCCCTCTGTAAAGTAAGGAGGTGGGCAAAGTGATCTCTAAGGAATCGTCTAGCTCTGCTCTTCAGATTCAGTGATGCAATGCCTGCAGGCCTTAAAGCCCCATAAGGGAGACCACTCATCTGGAAGTCTAAGCTCTTCCCCAAGACAAATCATTCACAGCCTCAGAGAGTGGCAATGGTATAAGGGGACAGCGTGGACCCAAGATCTCACAGCTAGGAAAGAGACCCAGGGCCATAGATGAGTAGACAAAAACCATGTTTAAAGGAGAATGGCCTTGAATCAAAGGCCAAGAAGCAAGGAGCTGCATGTTGAGGTTCTTCAGAAGACAACCAGGGAAGGGGTGGGGTATCTGAGCCCAGTGCTGAGTGCTGGGCTGCTTATCACTGAGTAACATCAGCATAGAGAATAACAGCCACCCACCTGTCCTTAGTGCCATCACAACAGGATGTGGTTTGGCATTTACCAGGTCCCACTTCTGGAGTGCCTGTGAAAGTTCCTCCCCCCACCCCCTCCTGAGCACCCTGAAAACCACAAGACCACATCCTGGCCGACCTCTTCCTTGCTGCTCTCTTTACTGGGGCCCTGGTGAGCATCCCTGCAATGAAAGGAGAGGAGAGGGTCTCTCTCTCAAGAGGGATCTGGGCAGACCACCCCACCCCTAACTTAACTTCTACACCTGCTGGAAGTCAAACTGAGATCTGAGGCTGCAGCGACACCTTGGAGATAATGAGGAATGCCAAACAGCTGCAGAAACTGCTTTGACCCAATTGAGGTCTCTTCAGGCCCCAAATCATTCAAGCACCTCCCTTCTCCCATCTGGCCCCTAAATGCCTCGCCCCCACTCACCCTCCCTCTTCCTTCCACTCATCTAGTGAGAGCTGCTAATGAGTCACCCACAGGAACCACTAGATAATGAACAGACTGACAATTGTACAGTCTCTGGATATCTGAGCTATGTCTGTGTGCTGTACTGACTGGGTTTCTTTCAGTGTCACCTGTGCTAAGGCCTGGTGGATGTCTTGTGCCATCAGAGTGACAGGAAGAGAAGATATAATGCAGGAGAGAATGGAAAACCAGAGTCTGAACATCTCAAAAGAGAGAGAGGGAATAACATGATATATATAACCTGCCATGCCTGCTTTGTGGAGCTCACAATCTGCCTCACACTCAACCCAAAGCCTAAAATCACAGTCAAAACTATGAAGTAGCCAATTGCTGTGTCACCGGCTTCCCAGCCTGGGGCATTTCCATCTTGCCCAAGCTGTCCAGAAGCCCAGGGTTTCTCTCTCTAAGTGGCTGAAATCCAGGCAAGATGGCCTGAAGGAGTTTGTTCCTCTAGCTGCTAGCATGTAGCCTTGGATCCCATGTGTGGGACTAGTTGTCTGGGCTCACCTACAAAGTCAGAGCCAAGGGCCAGTCTAGTAAGATCTCCTAACCTAAAGAGACGCCTCAGCTGCCCAAAGGGGCAAGTGAGATTGACAAGTTCCTGGCCAGACAGAGCATATCTGAGTGGCATGAGTTATCCCGAGCTGCTTTCCTTTGTTTCCCGAAAGGATGAGGACTATAGATGTTTTCTGGGTCATCGGCACCATGGAAACCATAAGGGAAGAGGACTCATGAACAGAGCAGGCAACATTGAAAATATTAGCTTGTTCTGATGAACTTAGATGGCTTTAGGCCTTTCCTTGCCTAGGCTCTCCTTACCTAGTATTGTCCTGTGTCTCCGTCACCCTTTTTCATGACCAGGACTATTTCTGGCCGCTTTTTTTTTTTTTTTTTTTTACTTATGATATTCACAGGATCTCCACCTTTCCACTCAAACCAACTCCCCTTGCTGAGAAGATCATTTTGTTTTAAATGTAGCCTCCAAAAAAACTAAACCTTGCTAAAATTCTCTCTCCTTAGTGAAATTTTCCAGAACTTTGCTGAATTTTCTTAAATATCTGTTTTAACTCTCCTGTCAACCCCACTTGAATCTCTGTTCAGAAGGACTCTGATGCTGCATGACCACCCCCCCCCCCACCTCCCCAAGGGGGGGGGGGGGGAGGAAGACCAATGGCCAATATCTGAATGGGCACAGCATAGGGTACAAGTTTCATGGATTTGCCACCCAAGTGTATTTAACATTTTAAAATATTTACTACATACTTTCAATTTTAATTTTTAAAAATATAAGTCTTTCTTTTGGGTGAGCTGCAATTAAACTATCTTGTGAACTCCAAGAGAGGAAAGTAATATCTAGCTGTTGAAAATTAGACCCTGTAATAGGGCTTTATAAGATGAACACCATCTTACTTAATACACTGAGCAATCCAATAAGGGAAGTTAGACAGATGAAGAAAATGAGGCCTAGAGAGATTAGATAATTAGCCCAATGTTAAAACTTCTAGTAAATTTAGACTTAAAAACCCGGTGCCTTATAAATACAGAGATGAGAAAGCCAGCAAGGTTTCCAGAGGGAGAAGAGAGAAGTTAGCAGATGAAGCATAAGGAATTATCCTTCCACTACGTCTAATGTCAATAATAAGGGAGGCCTGGGAAGGAAAGGGACATATATGAGAACTTTCTCTATTATCCACTCAATTTTTATGTTAATCTAAAACTGTTTGAAATACCAAATCTATTAACTAGAAGTAATCAGGCAGCACTGTTTCCAGGAGGGTTCTGTTTTTGCTAATGTTAAAAAATCAACTAATGCCTAAACCTTAGCTTGAGGCATTGATTCCTATTCAATGAGTTGTAAATTACTTCTATGATCACAATACTACAGAGAGAGAGAAAAAAAAGGTAAGCCAAATGCCTTGATGAAACCATGCTGTGGCCATGCCCAGCACCAGCTTGAATTACTTCATTTTCCTTTTTAATCCTTGTAATGGTTTCGAGTGCCCACTACACAATAGCTGCTTAATACATAGTTGGTCCTGATGGTGCAATAGGAACTCTTGGGCACTGTTAAATACTGTCTTGATCACTTTGTGTCTCTGACTCAGACTTTCCTGAGTAATTGATATTTAAAATAAATATGTCTGAATTGTCCTAATGAACTGATGCCAGAATTAAGAGTATTTTAAGGCTTTTTGTGCCCCCTCGTGGAGCAGAAGTGACATTATGAAAGAAAACCTTTTTTGAGAAGAATGAGGACAATGACTGGGGGATGAGGAAGGAAGCTCTGTTGCCAAGGTAATCATGGCATCTCTTTCCAGTCATCTTCATAAGCCTTTTCTCTCCTTCATTCCTACCCAAGTAATTTCTCCTTTTTAGGGCTTTGCCATCACACAGGCCTGCCTCTCTTTTAGCCTCTTTTTGATCACCATCTGCTTTTCTGCTCCCTCCTTTGCTAAAGGGGAAGGGATGAGAAACAATAGAGTGGGAATATTTAAAAAGCCTGAAATGCAAAACAATAATAAAAATCTCTAAGTGCATGTTCCTGATACTGACAGAAGCACACTTGTAGACGCATGAGAACAGTCCACGAACGTTGCCATTCCCTGGCTCAGGTCTCATCCAAGCTTCCACAAGATACTGTCCTGGTGATGAAAATTAACCAAATGATTCACCTGAGTTGGCATCCTTCTATTTGTTCACCAGTCCACCACAACACCACATCCGGTTACAGGTGTATGCTTCCTCTCTCACCTGCATGTGCACCAGACCACTCCCCAGTGCAGACCAACAGCAGCCCCGGGGAGAATAGCACGCTCTGAGGACTGCAGTATGGCAGCCACAGGCTAGACATCCCCACATTGGGAACTTGACTGTTTGGATGCAATTCACAGGTAAATTGTTTTGTTCTCCCTGAGAACTTAGTAATGTTCTTTTGGGGAACCTGCCTTGATTCAGTTGCTCTCACATTGGCTGACCATTAGAAATCCAGTGACAAATACCCTCCACCCAGTCCCCGAGTGAGGGCTCCTGGAGAGTGTGGTGAGGACTCAGGGGAGGGTGGGGTTTTTGCACAGAGGTCTGCCCCACCCAGCTCAGTGTGATACTCCAAGCACAGAGATAGAAGCCAGTGTTGTTGAGAAGGAGCTTCTTAGAATGCAGGATGAAGTGGCCATCCTGGGATCTGGAGGCCTCGAAGTTCTGGGGCGCCTGAGAGACTATCTGGTTAACACTGATGGAGTAGAAGAGCATCTGGAGATCCCTTCCTTCAGTCTGCCGGTACCAGTACAGGTTGGGGTTTGATGTCCCCTTCACTGTGCACTCCAGGGAGAGTGGGCTCCCCATAAGTTGCACCTTGGTAGATGGCCATTGATGGATAGTCTGTGCTCTGACACCTGTGGGGAATGGAAAAGGCCATCGGGAATGAAGAATCCAGCCCAGCTTGCTCTCCATCCAGACAGAGGGGTGGCTCAAGTCCTTCCTATGGCTCAGGCATACAGTATCAATCACAGGGAGTCAGTTGGGAGGGCCAAGGGGGCAGAGGGTCACTGGACAAGGGGACACCAGGGAACAAATGCCTTTCTAGGAGCCAGAGGTAACCAAGATCTAGCACTCCAGCCATAAAGTCCCATATTCATTCCAGACAATTAAAGGAATGTACCGGTACTAAAGAGAATCAAACCAAAAGCTGAGGCTCTGGATTCATGGGGTTGGGTGAGAGTGAGGACTTGAAGGGAGGCTTACCAGAGAGGAGAGTACCCGCTAAGAAAGTGCCCAAGAGAAGGGCAAAGAGAGAGCAGAGCATGGTTCAAGTCAGCCTTCAGTTGAACAAGCCTGGTAGACAGGGCCAGACAGGTGGCCAGGCCCCTCCCCCTTGGAGATCTGTGACCACAGAGAAGAGGGCTCATTTCCCCTCAAGCTGGGGAGGAAATGAGGCCAGTGTCCTTTTAAGTGTGTGATGAATCACCCCCACCCTCTCTGGGAACCAGCTTTACCCTGCACTGGTATCTGTATTAAAATCTTGCTGAAGTCCTGGTATGTAAATAGATTTAATGACTCATGAGTTACCTCTAAACAAGAGATGACTCTCTGGTTCCCCCAGGAGACCACCAAGACTAACCGCCAGAGAAACTGATTCTGGCAGGATGGTGAAAAGTGATTTTAGTCTATCTAAAGTTGGAAACCAGATATAGGACATGTCCACTGGGTAGCTGGGGAAAAAAGCAAATCAAGGCTCAAGGGATTTAGGTCTTCAGGTTTTCAAAGCAAAAGAGCTCACCTCTGAGGGAAGGAGGAGAGCTGCTGTAACATCCAACCAAAGGATCTGCGTGCTCTTCATCCTGGCAGACAGGATCTGAGACCTGGATGGCTAGATTAACTCCTGAACTGATCAAAGCTGGACTCTGTGTTCCTTGTGCCTCTGATTTAGCCTCTTAATGCAACATAAGGTACTGCCACATCTTGGGCCTTGGAACCAAATAGATCTGGGTTCTAACCATAACTCTGCTTCTCACTGGTTAGGTATCCTCAGCAAACACTGTTCTTCAATTTTCTCATCTGTGAAATTAATAAGATTATAACACCTATAGATGGTTGAAAGATGCACTTTGCTTCGTGCACTGTATGCACTCATAAGTGTTGGCTGTTTTTTAGACTCCAGGGAAAGCTTGTGCTTACAGCAAAGAGTAGAAGGTTTATAATGGGATAAGGAAGAGAGTGGGACTGAGGGGATGACAGAGACACCAGAATCATTGACAGGCAATCAGTTTATAGCAGCTAAGGATGAGAATCTGCTAGGCAGCTGGTATAACCTCATGCTGTTGAAATGAAACATAGGGACTCAAAATGCCTGGAGGACAGCCAACATGTCTCTGGGAACTTCCCCTTCTCTCTGCCTTTGCCATGCTCTGTCCTCTGAGGATTCCTTTTCAAAACAGTTATTCAGTGTGTGTTGGACCTTGTGAAATGGTGTGCGTGAGTGCTTGGGAAAGAATCTCAGTAGGAAATCTAACAAGGAGAAGGAGCCTAAAGCAAACCAGGAATCTGTGGTGCATTCCCATTTCATCAGTGTCTGGTGACGTATTTGTTTTTGTTGCTGATGCTAACAATTCAAAGTTAGTGTTGGGGTTCTTGCTTCCAACAGTTTCCGCTGAAGCACTTTTTTTTTTTTTAATGAGTCTTCTTATAATATTTACTTAAAAGATGACAAAGCAAGTGGTAAGCATAGTAGGCATCCCCTGAGCATTTAGAACTTACGATGAAAAGACGCTTTTGGCAGTTGTTCAATCTCAGTTTTTGGAAATCTGCTAATAGGACTCATTTCAATATCTATGTATATATGACTAGAGGAAGTCAGCTCAAGATGATGGGTGCCCACATACACACAGACAACCTCCTTTCTCCTTTTCTTTCCCTTTCTGTCAGTCCTCCTTTCTCTTTGTTCCTGGAATTTTTGTTGACTTAATCCTGAGCAGGAATGGGGGTGGAGGGAGGGTAGATAGGAGATGGCAGCAGATACAAAGAGGAGGGAATTGCTCTTGCTCTTGATAGGACCAGGCCATGCTCCCATTGGGCTGGCAGACTTTCACACCAGCAAAGGCCATGTGGGTCTTGCATCGCCTAGGGGAGCTGATGTCACTCATCAGCTGCATTGGCTCAGTGTCATCACCAAATAGAGAGTACAATATAATCTTCCTCCCTAGAGATGGCTCAGCAGATTAGAGGGTGAAGAAAAATATCAGATCAGAATAGCCAGCTGGCTCCTGACTCCCTGATCACTGTCACAACTCAATAGCTTGGAGCTCCTTCCATGTGGCTGATGCCTTAGAAAAATACCTCCTTATTCTCCATCCCTATCTGCAATGCTGCTTATTCATTTAATACATTCAAATCACTCATATATTGAAATGTGAGGCTATGATCCTTTGCTCTGTGGCAGCAGACATCCAAGAGGGAGGAATCCAGCCTTATATCTGGCCAGATGAGGGGGTGTCAGACAGACAAGTGGAACTGAAGGCTGGTTTAAACTATGCTCTGCTCCTTTCTTAGGTGAGTGTCCACATCTCTAGCAATTTTTTTATTACCATGTTGGGCTTCTCTCTCCATCCTAGATTCATATATATATATATATATATATATATATATATATATATCAGAGAGGAAGGGAGAGTGAGAGAGATAGAAACATCAATGATGACAGAGAATCATTGATCAGCTGCCTCCTGCATATCCTTCACTGGGAATGGAGCCTGCAACCTAGGCATCTTCCCTAACCAGGAATCGAACCTCGATCTCCTGGTTCCTAGGTCGATGCTTAACTGAGCCATGCCAGCTGGGTCATTCTAGATCCTTAATGAATCACAACTGACAGGATAAAGCTTTATCCATAAAGAGAATAGAGCACTATTTGGTACTATGGAAATATTCCCAAAATATGCTGTTAAGCAAAACAAGCAAGCTGCTAATAATATGTATAAAGCAATGTGATTTATATCAAAACACATATGCAAAATAGTTTATATGTCTACTTATGCACACACACACAGATATACACATTCATTTATTCAACTAGTGGTAATTGGGCACTATCCATTCCCATATAGCTTATTTTAGTAAAAAATGCAAACATATAGAGAAAAAGGACTGAAAAAATGAGCACCAGATTGATGATAATGGTTATTTCTAAGAAATAAAGCAGGAGAGGGAAATAACAAGAGAACATTTGTTTGATTTTCAGTGTTGTTTTTTTTTGGGGGGGAGGGGTAGACACAAATAGTATAATGTATACTGAGTACCATTGACTGAGCCTCAGTCTCACCCCCCTTCACTTACTTGAGCTGGTAAGTACAGTCATTAGGCTCAAACTCCATCTGCCTCCCTCCCGTCCATAGTAAATATCTATTGAGAACAGCATCAAAGAAAGTTGCAGAGTAGTACAGACTGACAAATGTCAGAATGTCCAGTGAAAGATGAATAAGTGAGATGAACAGAAGAAATGATCCAAGAGAAGAAGAGAGAATATATGAATTGGAAATGCTAACAGAAAGGATGTTGAGAAAGAACTGTCTTGTAAGATAAAGGCATTCAGTGCTTGGTCCAAGTGGTGTAAGATCTAGACTCTTGAGGGCTCCTCAGCAGATAGCCTGAGCTCATGAATAAATGCCTGGAGGGTGACTAGAAAAAAGAACATCAATTGGTTATTGAATCTTCTTAGGATGTGAAAATGGGGTCAGCGGAGGATGTTAAGCTATAGATTTCAAGAGGCTGTGGACATAAAAAGCAAAGACTTCAAATAATGACGAGCAGAGGAAGGGTGGCAGAAATGGCCCAAAGTACAGCCGGTCCCACCATCACCCACCATGGCCCCCCCTCTGGTGTTAGTTTTGGAGAAATCTCAGATGAATCCATTAGTGGGAGGAGGAGGAATTTCTAAAGAGGTGGACTAGATAGGGCAAGGATGTGAAGCTAAAAATAGAAGTCATGAAAACAATATGTACACTAACTGCATAATAGCAACAATTGTGGTGATGACACTGGATGCTGCCAACAGGGTGCCTAGGGTGAAAGGGTGGTGCTCTGGGCTCTGGGTGTGGTTAATTGGAAACATTTGGGCAGAAGGCAAAAAAGAGAGCCATTAAGGGAAAAGTCAGAATGAGAACCAAGGTGTTGGGTTGCTGTCACTCCCAGATCAATAGGTTTCAAAATGGGAAAATCAAGTTGAAGAAGGTAGAGACCAATGAACCTGCACACTCACACTTTCACACACACTTTCCTATGCACACCTGGAGATTCCAAATGGGAGGCTGGTAATGAGTCATATCAATAGCAACAATTATTTGACAGGTCAGTATGTTTATTCCTGACTATGTTACTAAGAGCAGTGAGGATGTGAGAAAGCATCATTAACATCTTTGTTTAAAATCTTGCTGTGCTCTGTTAAAAGCTGTGTGCTAGACTATAACTGAGCTCTCTCTTACTAAAGGAAGTTGAGACAGAAGCAGTTTGGATGGTTTCCTAAAAGTCAACAGTTGCTAAAGAAAGTGTCTCATGAAAAGAAAACAATAAACTTCCTATGAAAAGTTAAGAAATTCTCAAAAGAAGCTTAAAAATTAATAGACAAGGCCTGCACACTGGAAGGTCAAGGGTTCGAGCCCTACTCAAGGTCATGTACATGGGTTACAAGTCAGATCCCCAACCCAGGTTGGGGTACATGTGGACATAACTAATCGCTATGTCTCTGAAACATGGATATTTCTCTTTATCTCTCCCAAACTCTCTCCTCCTCCCCCTTCACTTTCAATCTCTCTAAAGCAATGGGGGGAAAAATACCCTTACTCCTTAGGTGAGGAAAATAAAATAAAATAAAATAAAATAAAATAAAATAAAATAAAATAAAATAAAATAAAATAATAGACTACAGAGATGCAGGGAATGGGCAATATTTTTCCCCCTAAGAGATAACATATTATGAATACTTGAGTCCAGGTGCAATTTATTTTTATTTTTATTTTTATTTTTTTAAATATATTTTATTGATTTTTTACAGAGAGGAAGAGAGAGGGATAGAAAGTTAGAAACATCAATGATCAAAGAGGAACATTGATCAGGTGCCTCCTGCACAACCCTACTGGGGATGTGCCTGCAACCAAGGTACATGGCCTTGACCGGAATCGAACCTGGGACCCTTTATTCCGCAGGCTGACATTCTATCCACTGAGCCAAACTGGTTTCGACAAGTCGAGGTGCAATTTAATTGTTTTAATATATTATCACTCTTAAAGTAAAACTGAGAGGTAGTTGGTATTC